CTGGACTCCGGCCCATTCATGGCTGGACTGCACTTGTCTGGGAGTCACTTTCATGTTACTCATATTCTACTCCTTCTAACCTTATTAAATCATTCACAACACTCTGACCTCTAACGCCTTATCATATTCACTAGCCTATAAATGTTGGGACACGTTCCGTCGTCTTATATCTGGCCGGACCACATCGTATCCCACACGCCTGCTATTCTTGGCAGTTCAGTGCTGGTGGTCGAAGTCGATGTGACGCGATTTGTTTGTCGTTAATGGCCGTGACGCCATCACTGTCATCGATTACTCGGCTAATTGGCTCGCTGTCACCGCAGCCGCCCTCGCTCCCACAAAAGTGCACTTGTGCATGGGCACAGAGGCTAGACACCGAGACGCTGTCGTCTGGTTTCGGGCGTCAGAACACCTCCCTAGACTAGATCCTAACGACCGTGTTTTGTCTTCGTGTGAAAACACGCTTGTGACGACACAGAAGGCTGCGCTCAGAAGGGCGCATGCAAAATTTATGCAATGCCCAGACTACAAAATAATGTAAGGGGGGGTGCATTTAATCACACGTGGGCCAATTTACCTGCCTCGCCTACCATAACGCATGGTATCCACCAATTCGGATACAGAAGAAGAAGATGCGACCACTGGAACAAGAGTTTTATTTTCTTGACCTGTCGGATTCCGTCGGGAGTCCTTAATCATAGGTAATGATAGGTTAGTCTGAGTCATGCGCATGACTGCTTTCTGGAACTCGAATATTCACTTCTATTGGCAATTCTGATGCAGTAAGCTGACTGCCCAAGCAAGATTTCCTAATCAGTCAACCAAGAACCTACCAGGCGCAGTTAATTGGTAGGCACCCACGGTGGGGGGCTTCGTAGCTCAGTCGGTTGGGGCTGTTAGCTCCACTAAAGCCTTCCCGTTGGCGGTGTGTGTTGGAATCCCACCGGGGCTGCCGCGGTGGACTGGAATCGTTTACTGGAGCTGGCACAGTTATGGACAAAACAACTACGTCGGAGAAACCGGTAGATTACTCCGGACGCGAATGGCCGGACACGCAGCAGCAGTGAGGAGGAAAAACGCTAACTCACAGGTTGCAGTTTGCTCGACCACGGGACCCGGCCATATTTGCAAGTTTAACGAGGCGGAAATCCTCGCAAGAGGTGACAACCATGTGAGCCACGGCTGCTCAAGTCATGGTTCTCATGCCCACAGTCAATCAACAAGCGCAACGAATTGCCGTTCCCTTACTCCGTACTGAGACATTGTCTGAGCACTGGGGAATCAGTCACGTGGGAAGGGCCGGGCCCAGCAACATCTCACACGACAGCTAACTTAATTGTCGCGTAATTATCAAGCCCGTATCCAACACGGGTGACGAAGTCGTGGCAGTTCGTGACTTGGAAGTGAATTGCCAAGCCATCACCGCACCATTCACGACCATATTATACGGTTACCTCTGATGAAGGGTTCTAGACAGAACCCGAAACGGCAGGCAAAAAAACCTCTCTTTCCAGCGATCGCATGTCACAGTAGTGCTCAAAAGCTTTTTGCAACTGAATATTACCCCTCTAGTTTATTTTACAAACAGCATTAAAACATTGTGGGCTAAGATGCTTTATGGGCAGAAATTTGACTGTTTTAGAAAATTAGCAACTTTTTAAGCCCAAAACGTACACTTTCTTCAAGTATCAGACTTGAAGAAGGCGTACTTTTCTTCGAATTTATTATAATAGCGAATATTTTAATGCCTATTTTCTGTAAGATATATCTAAATTTCTGCCAAGATTCGCATGTTTAATTTGAAAAGTCTATACGGCAAGGATGCGTTTTCTTCACTGCACTATCGGGCCTGTACAACCGCATTGGTAATGAAAGTAGGAGAGGTGAGAAGGGTTTATAAGGTCTCATACTTAAAACACATAGTTCTCACACCGGCCGCATGGCAATGTCGGCATGTCAAAGTCGTAGGGCAGGCTGTGGATAGTGGTTGTGGGCCGAGTACACGGAGCGAAAATCACTGTCACGCGCACGGAGTGAACAAATGTCACCAGGATTTGTGGACAACATGCGATCACTACCTGACGTCGGAGTCGATCACGGACGAGACCGCCTTGATTAGCGTCATCTGACAGCACACCACAGCCGTATAGCCACTGCCTCGGCGGTCGCTAGTACCAGTTGGCGTGGGCCTTTACATAAGTTGGCTGGTTTCATTAGACTGGCGAAGGGGGAAGAATAGGTTTGGACTGTGAGTGGTGATCATGGTTTGAGAAAGCAGAGTGAAACTCACCGTCACGTGCACGGAGTGAACAACTGTCACCAGGAGGTAGGGACGACATGCGATCACCACCTGACGTCGGCGTCGGCCACGGAAGAGACCGTCTGTATTAGCGCCACCTGACAGCAGAATACTGGATTCGCTAGCCGTATAGCCGCTGTCTCGGCTTTTGCTGGCTGGTGTTCCGTAGACAACCTGAAAAACTTCGTTGGGATCGACTCGGTGTGCGAGAATAGAACTCGAAATCGATTTAGTTTCATCCTTACTCAACGAAGCCATTATATTTTCTTGGCCACCTCTTTTCTGGGCACCTCGTTGTTTGGCCAGTGTATACTGCTCCACAAGAGAGCAGATGAAGGAGTGCACATCGATGTGACCTTCAGCGGGAGTCGGGCTTTACCTCCCAAGCATATGAGGGGAGAGTTCGTGAAGAATATCCGTAGGTTCGCCATAGAAAAGGGCTTGCGATCGATCTCTGCAGCTGTCATCGTGTCAGTTTGCCTATTCCATTGCCTAAGAAAGGCAGTCTTATGAACACATGTTTCAGTTGACCCAGTTGTGGGAGTCGAACCCACACAGCAGGGAAGGCTTTTGCGCAGCCAACGCTCTA